TGTGCCAGACCTAGAGGCACATGAGAGCAGTGAAATGATTTCCTTTATGTGGTCTCTTGCTTCGGTTCTTTGGAGGAACAATTTGAGACACTTTTCCCCTAACCCCCAAGGAGTAACTTTTGCCCTTCTTCGTTGGAGGAGCCATTTGGAGGCTCCCAAGTTGTTTTCTAACACAGACAGTTTGTCACTTTTGTCCAGGTTGATTGACATTTCCTGAGTAATTTGTAAACAACTTGAGTGTGTGACGCTTTTTGTCTGGCCTTAGGCTGCCCTCTCTCCTGTGACTGATCTACTTTAAGCACTTTGCAGGGATTGTTCAGTATACTATGCAAATTGAGTGAGTTGCAGTCCACCCAGCGGAGAGGATCCGTCAGTTCATGGTCCTGCCGGGAGGACCATGCCTTCTAGTTGACAAGTAGTTTGCTTATGTAAGCTGCCAGCCCCACAGAGGTTTTTAGAGGCAAGGAGAGTAGAAGGGCGGGGGCCTCTTCTAAAAGAACTGTAACAATACAGGTCAAGGGCTGTTAACACTGAAGATGGTGAGAGGCCCTGAAGGGGCCCTCTGGCACAGTCAGTGGTGATGGCAGAAAGCTGCTGGTAGGAAAGCAGCTGAGATAGTTGAGCAAGCTGCTACGCTGGCTGCGAGCTGGGCCAGTTAAGAGTCGAAAGGCTGACAGTGGGGAGGCCGAAGGCGGAGAGGTCTCCACTGCTGAGAGAGGGCTGGCATGGCCAAGAGAGGGGCCTACCTGCTTGCATGGCTGAAAGGAGCTGAGAGAGTTGTCCTGCACGAAGAAAGGAGGCATGTGCTCTCAACTTTGTCCGGAGCCTTCTAGACCTTGCCTACCTGCTTCCTGATCCTGATCCCAGGTTGCATCCTGTCTCTTCCAAGTTGATCCTCATACTGAGTTGTAGCCTGTTACTTCCTAAATAAACCTAAATAAACTGTAGGTGTAGTTCATGAGTTCCGTGAGATGCAGCAAATTGCCAAACCCAAATGGGACAGGGAAGAGTGCTGAGGGAAGAGGGAGTGGCTGATGTCAGAGACAGACTGGCGCTGCAGCTTGGAGAAATTGAACGTGGGGGTATATTTTACCTCTGCCTTATATATTAAATTATTCCATGAATGAGATACTCTTCTTTCCCTCAAAGAGCTCACAGTAGAGCTGGGGAAAGACACACATGCCCAGCTAACTTCTTTAGATGAGTGGTGAACACGGCCCTGCCATGGGAAGCTGGGCCTCAAGGAGACCTCAGGTCCCTTTCTGGTTTCACTGCTCATTGATGATTACATTGGGTGAGCTGCTCACTCCCTTGGGACCCCAGATTCTCCATCTGTAGGTCCAGGGCTTAGATAAAATGATCTCCAAGGTCTTTCCACTGCAGTTTTGCTGACTCTCTCAGAAGTTGTTTTACGTTTCAGAATCAGAGCTACTAGAACATTCTCAGTTCTATTGGGATCCCAAGTCTGATTGATGGGCAAGTGTCTAATGTACTGGGAGCGGCCTGGGGCCTGAGCTGCACCCCATCCCTGCTGCAAGGAGTCAGTCATATTCTCCTTGGGGAGCTCCTGCTGATTTTGTCAGCATTGTTGGTTAGTTTCCTCAGTGGGAAGGTAAGGTTTTGTGGGGTCTTGACTTTTATCTCAAGGTGAGAAGCCTCAGATGCTTGAAAAAAGCAGGATGCCCAGGTGTTGAAGACAAAGAGCAAGAGTGAAGGAGTGGGTGCGAAGCTGTCCTCACAAGCTGTGCTGCAATGGTGTATTGTGCTTTTCAGATAAAACTGTTCTGTAATCTGTATGCCATGTGTTGCCAACCCTGGCACACTAGAATTGGAGGGCCTCTGGCCTTTTGTTCATGTGTTAATTTATTCAACAAATTGATATTAAATGCTCATTATATGCCAGGCTATGTTGAAGATACAGCTTTGAACAAAGCCTCATGGGGCTGACCCTCTCTTTAAGAAGATAGCCAGTGGGGATAAGATTTGTACTGTCATATCATATATAATGCTCTGAAGGAGTAAAACCAAACTGAAGAAAACAAACTCACTGCCACCGAGTCAAGTCCAACTCAGCAACCCCCCATTAGATTTCCAAGGTGGTAAATCTTTATGGAAGTAGATTGCCCCATTTCCCTTCCATGGAGCAGCTGGTGGATTTGAACTGCCAACCTTCTGGTTAGCAGTCTACCTTAGGCACTATGCCGCCAGAGCCCCTTGTGAAGGTGTAAGGGGATGGGAAGTGACCAGTTGTACTGTTTTAGATATGTTGTTGTTGTTGTTAAGTGCCGTTGAGTTGTTTCCGACTCATAGCGACCCCATGCACAGCAGAACGAAACACTGCCCGATCCCACGCCAGCCCCACAATCCCTGCTATACTTGAGCCCATCATCGCAGCCACCGTGTCAATCCATCTCGTTAAAGGCCTCCCCCTCTTTCGTCGACCCTCCACCCTACCAAGCATGACATCCTTCTCCAGGGAATGGTCCCTTCTTACAGCATGACCAAAATAGATGAGACGAAGTCTGGCCATTCTTGCTCAGGAAATGTCTCTCAGAGGTGGTGAGACTTGAGCAGAGACCTGAATGAAATGAGGAAACAAACACTGCAGATAACTAGAGGAAGGGGTCCACGCAGAGGCATCAGCAAGTACAAAGACCCTGAGGCAGGAGAGGACCTGGCAGTCCTGAGGAATAGCAGGGAGGCAGTGTGACTGGTGAAGTGTGAGGAAGGGGGCGTGGTAAGAAGTGTAGTTGGAGAAGCATCCAGGGGCCAGATCAGATAGGGCTTTATGGGCCATGTGAAGACTATACATTTTGTGCTAGGTGTGCTCCGAAGCCATTAGGGAGTTTTGACTAGGGGAGTGACATAAGTTGAGGAGCTCCCTGGCTGCTGTGTGGAGACTGGTCCATTAGAGTCTATTGCAGTGGTCTGCGTGGCTTGAATCTAAAGTTATTAGAAAGAACGTGCACATGTGAGTGCATATGTGACCATTTTTCTTGGTTTCCACCACACCATCCCCTTAGAAATCACCTGCAGGGAATGAGCTTTCTCCTTTGCAGTCAATTTGAGTATATGTCAAGAAACAGTCATTTAGCTTAGTGGGCACTGGTTTCCCCTCCTGTAAAATAAGGGCTGGGTGGGGGACATGTGGTGGGACAGGGAGCTGGCATCTGTTGCCTGCTTGCTCTGTGATGGATACCAGGCTGGGGGCTTTCCTGTGCCAGCACACTAGTCCTGACCAGAACATCCAGCTGGTTCCAGTTGGGCTCAGCATGCCTGTTGTGTCCTGATTCTGTGAGTCAGGTCCTTCTTGAAACCATCAAAGCAGGTCCTAGATGCCTCTCGGTCCATGGATTCGTGAGAGCTTGACCGAAGCTTGTGAGCTTGACACAAAACTTTGATGGGGTTGGGCCACTTTTAGCCCAGTCATGACCAACCCTGAATAAATAGGCAATGCGTTTATAAGCTAGTACTTAAACACTGTTGTCTGTGGACACTGGAGTTAAGTTTGCTTTTTAGTGTTAGATATCAAGAAGGATAAATGGAGATTATCTCAGGGTCTCAGCCTTTAGAACCAATTAATGAGAAAGCAAGCCCCAGAACAAAGCCGGAGGGCCTGTTCTGAGTAGCTCATTCCCATTAGGTTTCAGACTGATGCCCAGAGCCCTCAAATGCTGGGAAGCTCCAGCTGCTGAAGGGTCAGCCCTGTGGCTTCCTGAAGGTAGCGACAGCTAAAGGAAGTCATGTGAAGCAATTTCACATTGCATAAGTTGCTGAGATATGACTAACGCTCTTCACTGAGTCTGGGAGTCATGACTGTGGTAAAAAGTGGCCCAGTTGGTAACAGCGCTGATTGCAAAATGGGATGATTCAGATTCCAGAGCTGAGCCCAGCCTTGCTGGTGAGTGACGGAAGTAAACTGATGTAGTTTCAGGTACTCTCACTTTGGCCTTTGTCTGCTAATCTCAGATCTACCTACCTATCTGTCAGGTTTCAGTAGTGGAAGGACCAGTCAAGCTTCCTTCACAGAAATTAGGTTGGTATGTTGAGGATCCCCAAGACTGCTGTCAAGTTCAGTGATTAACAAGGAGGACTCACAGAACTCAGGAAAGCTTGTATGCTCATGGTTATGATTTATTACAGTGAAAGGATACAGATTAAAATCAGCAAAGGAATATAATGTGTAGGGTGGAATCTAGGAGAAACTAGGCCTGAGATTACAGTTGTCCTCTCCCAGTGGAGGTGTAGACAGCACTTAATTCTCCCAGCAACCATGAGTGACAGCACGTATGAAGGAAGCTCGCCCAAGCTTTGGTGTCCAGGGTTTTTACTGGAGGTCGGTCACATGGCATGAAGCAACTATATGACTGACCTTAGCTACCCAGTCTTCAGCCCCCCACTGATGCAGTGGAGCCCAGGGCCCCAGGCAAACGAAAACAGGCCCTCACCAAAAATCATATTGTTAGCATCAACCATCTGGCATGGCCCAAGGTCTCAGGCATACAAAGATACTCTTATCAGGCAGGGTATTTCAAGGGCCAGTCCTGAAGATCTATGAAATATTCAGAGATTGGGGCAACCCAGGCCTTCCTTGCACAACTGGGAAGGGGTTTTCTGTAAAGTGGCCCCCTCTCTCTTATAGAACTAACTCCTCCGCTTTGTCCTTGTGGGATTGGAGGATGTTTAGTGATGATCATTCCATTGCAGTGGATCAGTCCTATCTCCAGCCTCAGCCTGTATCTGAAGTAGACCCTGGGCTGGAGCTGACACCACCAGGGCCATTTGCTGTTTTAACTCCCATCCAAGGCTGTAACTGACTCTTGGCTGGACATCACTGGGCACTCCTATACCTCCTGCCCACAGTGTTTGGTCTGTTTCCTGCAGCACTTGGGCATGAGGCTGGGCTGAAGCATTCTGGTGGGCTCCCCACCAGGCCTCACTGGCTGATGGGATGGACCCTGCTCCTCCCTGATGATGTTGTTTTTCTTCTCTCCCTAATAGTTTGATGATCAACATGGAGGACTCCAGCATGGATACCAGCACCACCGTGTCTGAGGCAGTGACTGAAGAAATGTCTCTTTTCAGTATGACGGACATGATTCTCTTTTCACTCATCGTGGGTCTCCTAACCTACTGGTTCCTGCTCAGAAAGAAAAAAGATGAAGTCCCTGAGTTCAGCAAAATCCAAACAACGTAAGTGCCGTTCTTCAGCACCCTCTTTGGTGCTAGTCTTCACATTTTAGAACGTCGCTATCATCATTCCAAACAGTATTCCTGTGTCCGGGCCTCAGGCAGGAGTGAGCCAGCAGATAACAGCAGGGTCCCATGCAGCATTTTAGGTTGAGTCTTGAGTTTTGCCTTATTGGTGGACTGTGCTTCTAATCTACCTTAACAATCTCTTATGTTGACATGGCATTTTAGAATTTGCAAGGTACTTTTATATCTGTTTTGTTATTTGATCTTCACAGCAGTCATTCAAAGTAGAAGAAACTGTTTTACAGATAGAGAGGCTCAGAGGAGGTCAAGGAGCTGGCCAGGGTCATCAGCCAGCAAGTGGCAAAGCTACATGGAGCTGGAACCATTTTTATTTCACTCTCACTCAACCCATCTGTCAACAGATGGGATCAAAGAAGGGCTTTTTGCATAGAATCACAGAGTTACAGAAAACTGCTAAGGACATACTATTACAGGGGTGTGTAGATGTAAAAAATGGATTGTGAAAGTGTGGCTAAGCTTGGGCAGCCTTGCCCTACACCATTGTGTCCCCCAATATTGAGATCTAAAAGCCACATGTGAAAGTCGTTCTCAAGACTTTAGACTTCTGCAGCCAGAATCATTTTCTGACACTTACTGCTGACTACGGTTTACCTTAATATCAGACTCCAGAAGCTTCAGTCAGGTGTGAGTGGGGCCCTACCAGGCCAGATGTTGTGCTAAGAGAGCTCTGGGGTCATAGCCCCATCCGAGGAGTGGGGGCGGGGCTCCCTGTATTTGATAAGGGGCAGGTCTCAGGTGCACAGAGTGGATGCTGTGTTCACAGCAAGACTTCGCAGGCCTGGCAGGGTGAAGCACACAGAGCTGTGTCAAGTCACTTGCGTTCTCTGTTCCCATCTGGGTAACAGTTTTCTCTACTGGAAAAGTTAAATGTGAGATCACATAGTCACAGAATACTCTTTTTTTTTTTACCATTGACAGGGTACTAGGTTGAAAGTTTGAAAAACTGGGTTTGATCTTTCCTGCATCGCTTATTCACACAACATGAGACCTGCATCCTTGACTTCCTCCTGAGGTCTGTGGATACGGCAGTGGATGAAATAGATGAAATCCTTGCCCTCTAGGGCTTACACTCTAGTGCTGTGCAGATCCCGGGAAGGACCTCATCTGCTAAATGGGGACAATAATCCCTATCTCAGGGCCTCTTGTGACTATTAAGTGAAGTCACGTTTATGAACACAGAGAGCCCAGCTCATTGCACGTAGTACCTGCTTAGTGTTGGTGTCAGAATGCATTTTGTGCCAAGCACTATGCTAGGCACTGTAAGAATTACAAAGATGGTGTTTACATTGGAGAAGCTGAAAAGAGGATGTTGAGAGAGAGTTCTAAAAACCGGTTTGTGAAACATACAAGGTATGTTATCCACTCAGGGCCCCTTGGCGACAGTGTTGTGGTCTGCTCGTCTCTTTAGAGCAGGCAGTCTCATATCTCCCTCATTACAGAGGGGTGATGCTGGGTACCCAGAAGTAGCAGGGCCAGGTGGGAGCTTTGGAAGGAAGGGATTCCTGCTGGGGGAGGGTGTCAGGACGCTGCCTGTAGGATGTGGCACTGAGCTTCCATTACATACCAGATCAGCAGGAGATGATGGGCTTAGTGCAGGGAACGTGTGTGGCCCGGGGCTACAGCCGAAATTCTCAAGACCTGCTCTGCTCTCTGATGGGTTCTAGAATTGATGTTTTAAGGTCTTTTTTTAATATATAAATTTTGTCGTTACTGAGAATATACACGCAAAACATACATCAATGGAGCAGTTTCTGCACATTTAGTGCCATCGACTACCTGCATGAAGTTGTACAACCATTCTCACCCTCCTTTTCTGAGTTGTTTGTTTTAAGGTCTTTTAAGGCCTTAGTCACACACGTGTGTATGTGTGTGTGCACACATGTGCAGATGAGCATGCAGCCTTTGGGAATAAATATTTTCAAAAAAGCAAAGCAATGGGGCCAACTGTAGTCTGGCCAGCAAGCACTCTGGGTAGCAGAGAAACACAGGAAGTTGGTCTGCAGGCCCCTCTGGCCCCATCCCCGGGCTGTAAGGTTCAGGGGAGCCAAGGGGAGCTCCCGAGTGCAAAGGCGACTCTCCCCAAGTGCACTGGCTTCTGTGTGCAGATGTGGCATTCAGAACGGCAGGAGCCAGGATGCACTCTCTGCCAGGATGCCAGTGACCATGTGACCAATGTCACCTGGGCAGCGTTCTGGAGGCAGCCTCCTGGAACCTGGACCACTTGCCCTCTGGCCCAGATCAGCATCAGTCTAGGAGGAGGGCACTGAGACCAGCCCTGCCCCAGAGGGTGGAAATGGGAGAGGGTTTAATACATCAATCAGGTAGACTTTGCCTTTAACACTCTGTCCAGGCAGCACTGGAATGTTGACCCAAAAGAAGATGAACTGCATACTGGGTCTCACCCCATCTCTCGGGAAAAAGGAGTGGAGCAGAGGGGTGATGCTGAAAACCTCGGTTGAAATAACATTTGGGATTCATCAAATCAGACACTTGTTTGTGGACTTTGTGCCAGGCCCTTGTGGTAAATCAGTAAAACAGAGCTCGTGCATGTGAGTCTTGTGGGAAGGGCAGTCATGTGAGCGGGTCCATCTGGAATGCACCCTGTTGGACTAGAAATGTGTGAACAGGGACACACAGGAGGAAGTGATGGATTCTGACCTGGCACGAGGAAGGCTGGTGAGAGGAGGTGACATTTGAGCTGAGCCTTGAAAGTGAAGTAGATTTGGATGCACTGGGATGGTATGTTTAAGGCACAGAGATGAGAAGGGCCCTGTGATGTGTTGGGAGCGGCAGGGCTCAGTCTGGTGAAATATGTGTTTGGGATGAGGTGAGGGCTGGGAAATATGAAAACTGCAGGATTTTTTTTTTATATATATATATATAAATTTTGTTGTTACTGAGAATATACACGCAAAATATACATCAATTGAGAAATTTCTGCATGCACAATTTAGTGCCATCAACTACATGCTTGAATTTGTACAACCATTCTTACCCTCCTTTTGAGTTGTTTGTTTTAAGGTCTTTTAAGGCCTTAGTCACACACGTGTGTATGTGTGTGTGCACACACAGGCTGATGAGCATGCAGCCTTTGGGAATGAATATTGGAGAGGCCCCAAGTGCTTCCTTAGGGGTGTGCATTGTGTTTTCTGGAATAGTGATGTGGTCAGACCCCAGTGTCAAACAGGCTTGGAACAGGCTGTTCATGGGAAGGACTTCCCGGAAGTCAGGAAGCAGGGGTACAGGTTGGGAGTCCATTCTGGGAAATGACCCAGTGAGAGATGGTGAGGCCAGAGAAGAGGGTACTGAGGGGGGGAAGTACAGTGAAGGCACAGGTGATGGGGGTGGGGCCTGATTGGGTTTAGAGAAGCATGGAGGGACACTTGCAGGAGCAGGTGTGGGAAGGAAAAGGAGAGGCTGGGATGTGGAGTTTTAGGGTCCTTCTGGGACATGTGAGTAGGGACTAGATAGCTGGGGCACAAGAGTTGAGCTAAACCCGAGTTTAAGAAATTCAGATACTTTGAAAGCAGGGGTGGGATGGGGAGGGGGACTAGAGAAGAGAATCCAAACCAAACCCACTGCCATCCAGTCGATTCCGACTCATAGCGACCCCCATTGGGTTTCCAAAGCTGTAAATCTTTATAGAAGTAGATTGCCTCGTCTTCTTCCCATGGAGCAGCTGGTGGGTTTGAACTGTTGACCTTCTGGTTAGCAGCCAAATGCCTTCCCCACTATGCCACCAGAGCTCCTTAGAGAAGGGAATAATGAAGTCAGATTTTGTTAAGGGTGTGGTTCGCAGAGTTAGGCTGCTCCTCTCTCTGGTCTCTGGTCCTCAGGGACTATTTGGAAAGATGAGGGAACATGAGACGGGAAGGGCTTAGCAGGGAAGGTCAGTGCCTGGAAGGTTGTGTTTGTAAGCTTTGTATTGAAGGGTACAACATACATTACAGTACATAAACATTCAGGGCACAGCTTACTTGTTTTTCACAGAATGGACATACTCATCTGACCAGCACCAAGGTCAAGGAGTGGATCAGTGCCAGCACCTTAGAACCCCTCGTGGCCCCTTGCTTTCCCACCTCCTGAAGTTTAATCACTCTCTTAGTCTAATAACACGGATTAGATTAGTCTGTGTTTAAACTTTATAATTTAAACAAATGAAATGATAAAATTTGTATTATGTTTGTACTTTGCTTTTTTCTCAACATTGTTTATGAAGTTTATCAATATTGTCTGTAGCTATAGGTCTTTCATTCTCACACTACTGTATTCCATTGTGTGAATGAGCCACAGTTTATCCATTCTACTGAGTTGACTGTTCCCACTATTACAAATAGTGCTGCCCTGAGCATCCTAGTATATGTCATATGGTTCAGATAAGAACATATTTCTGTCAGGTGTGTATTTTGAAGTGGGATTGGTGGTTAATAGGAAAGGTTTATTTATTTTTTAAAACTTTTTATTGTGATTTGAGTGAAAGTTTACAGAGAAAATCAGTTTTCCATTCAACAAGTGATACACATTTTGTTTCCTGGCATTGATGGCAATCCCGTCAATGTAACATCACTTTTTCTACTTCCTCCCTGTGTTTCTCGTTTCCACTTCTCCTTTTCTCCTAACCCTTTTTCCCTTGTGAACTTTGTCCTTGGGCAAATGCTGCCTTTTTGATTTATGGTTGATTTTTCTAAGGAGTGCATACCCTCCTGAAGGATCTCTCTGGTGGTGCAGTGGTTAAAGCATTCGGCTGTTAACCAAAAGATCAGTAGTTCAAACCCATCAGCTGCTCCCCAGGACAAAGATGAAGCTGTCTGCTTCTGTAAAGATTTACAGCTTGGAAACCCTATGGGGCAGTTCTTCCCTGACGTAGAGGGTAGCTAAGAGTCAGAACCTACTCAATGGCAGTGGGTGTTTCATGA